ACTTACAATGTTGATAATCAGGTGATTTTGTCCCTTTTTGTTGAGAAAAACGCGACATTTTCCAACATTGATTAAGGGGGATGGGGGATACGTGATCCAGCTCTACTGTCCCAACTACTTTTGTCCGGGACTGTAGACGTATACTCACATCTGATTTTAAATAAAACAGGAAGAAAAGAGGGTTATAGAAAAAGAAAGGGTCTCCTTTGTATGAAAGCAAGTTCTTTCAGAAAAGTCAGCCATAAAACTTCCAGAGAATCTTTAAAAGTGATCGTGCAGGACCGTTAGAGAAAATGCCCGGTCCTATACTTAGAGAATATGAAACCGGCAATGAACCAATGAGATTTCCGCTGAACTAAATTAGCCGTGCAATTAAATGCGTTATTTTATAATATTGTCTTTCAGGTGAAAGTGGTCGTTGATGTGATACCAAAAGTTGCTCCAAATGCGACTGAGTGGAGTGTCACATGAACGTCTCTACCACAAGATTGTCGAGAAAAGATGGGTTAACAATAGTTAGTTTCGATAGTAAAACATAGAGGATTGCTCATGTTTATCTGTGGAAAATCAGTGAAAAGTTTTGTTAAGGATAACAAGAGTAGATATTTCCCTGTATATACTAGAAATTTAGTGATTACTAACCGTAATTATGTCACACATAGCCTCTCAGTATGTATTGTAGTACCGATCGAAAAGTAAACTTTCTGATGTGAAACGACCCGAGAGAAAAGTTAGGAAACTGTAGAAATTTTAAAGCTAGTTAAGCTGCCTCGTAGGAACTTATCAATTTTTCAGCGTTGTCTACTAAACAAGCTGTAATTAGGCGCATTTTAGATCTTCATTTGATGTTAACAAAGTAATGCTGTAAGTTCAGATTTTAGAAAATAAAGTTTGAATGCGTTGTACCTGATCTCATAGTAGCCTCAGTAAAGACGAATACCTTGATTATTGGCGATTTTTCGTGGTTGAGAAATTTCATGCGAAACTCCCCTTTTAAATGAACTTTTTTGTTTTTAGTTTGTTTGTTTTTCCTTTTTTTTCAACACTTGTTATACTATACCGAACTCTAAACCCCGTTTTTTTCATTTTGCGAGGGTTTTCGTGTAAATTTCGTTGTGACAAAGAGATTTGTTTGGCGGGTGCGGAATGTTCTTTCTGTCGTGCAAAAAAAACCATCTTTATGGTCACAGTAACGAGGTATAAACGTAAGCGAGAATGCTAGTTTATTTTGCTTAAATCTGCTTATTTACCAGGGAATACCTTTACGGAATGACTAGATAATGCATGTGTGAGAAATAGATGTACATATAATACAGTTTTACACCAAAAGAAGATAAAGAACGGGTTTTATGAGTTAAGGAAAGGAATAAATAAGACAAGCGAGAAATTGAATACGAAATGAGTACTGATGTAAACGGGAAAGCAGTCTGCACGACTAACAAATGAGCTGATGTCGCCTCAATTCCTGCAAAGTGAAAAGAAAAGAGTGGATCTCAATCCATCGATATTAAGAACTATTCAACACTTCAAGAAGAAAAGCCTAACCTGAGTAAAACACACAAGGACGTAACAGGAACACATAAGAATCGCCTCTTCTGACTGTTTAAGTCCTCGTGTGCTTTTATCAGAACAAAGTACACCTGCGTTGCAGTTATAAGTACTAGTTTATGGAGACATTTCGCGCCCGAGGACAAAACGAACCCGCGATTTTTGTTCTTAAAGTTACTACGCAATGTAACGTACTAACATGACGTCACGCTGGCACGACTGTTTTTCAAATAGTCCTATTGATTTTGACCAAAAATCAGAATATCTTGGAGTATTTCAACAAAGATTTGCTAGAAACGACAATCTGT